AAAAAAAATGAGAAGCTATTTGCTGATAAGTTATAGGGTAATATCTTTGGTTTGACTGGCATACATGGTATCTGTACTGGAAAAGAAATGTACACTGTAAAGATGTGATTAAATGTAAATAAATAATTTTTTTAAATAAATAAATTTATTAAAAAAAATAACCTGTACAGCCCTGGAGAGCTACCCACTATGTGTAAGAGTTAGCAGTAAGTTTTCTTAAACATTCAATCAACAAATTTTAATGTCAGAATAGACACAAAAACAGAAGATTCTTTGGAAACCCTTAGCCTGGGTTATATGTAACCAGTGCATTTGGGAGCCAGAAGAGTCATCTCAGAGTTTGCTTGCTAAACATGTGCTCAAGAGGACTTAGACAATCTCAGGGGAGTTGCAAAGGGCAAACGGTCAGCACTGATGGGGCCACTGCTCATGGCTGTGAGTTCCAGCTCCTCTCTGCAGAGTCAGGCCATCTTCCTTCAGCATGGCAGAATCAGTTCTACCAGAGCCTCGTGCTTTACATGTCTTTCTTAAATGCGCCACACCTCTGCATTCCAAATCACTCATGTGGATTAAGAAACTTACACAGACATGTAGCATATACACAATATTAACTTCTCTATGCTGGACTAAACAATAATCATAATTGCAAATTTAGTTATTTAATTATGGGGTAAGGTCTGACAAATTATAGGTAAACCTGGGATTTGATGTCAAAACATCTGAACAAAAGCAATGACGGGACCAGCAACTGGCGTAATGGCTATGTCGCTGGACTCCCACGTAGTCGACCGCGGTTCGTGTCCCAGACCTGGTGGCTTAAAACTCATGCCGGGCGCATGTGCATGCGTGGCCAAGATCCCGAGAGGAGAACGGAGAAGAAGGGACTGTGGTGTGGCCATCCCTCCTGGGGGGGTGATTTCTCGGTTTACAAACACCAGGGAATGAGATACGCAAGCACTGGCTTTACTGACAGAGGTGATCAACCTCAGTGTTCTGCTACCACATCTAGCTAAGCTCCACCTCTAAGAAATTACACAATCTTCAGATAAGCCCGGCTGTGTGTGTTCGGGTAACTGAAAGACCTGATGAAACCTGTGCGGAGTCTCAGAAGCGGTGTAAACAGCTCAGTGTGGTCGGTCTATACCCAGCTGAGATAAAAAGCCTTTAATAATTGCTGCCTGCACATCCTCATCTAATAATGAGGGATTCAACTGTACCTGTGCCTGGCACTCCCCCCATGGGGCTTCAGTGAATGGCAAGCTCTTTACCTTTCTCGTGAGCGGCACCTCGATGGGCACAGGGACAACTTCAGCCAGCAGGCAGCCATAGAAGGCCACCATAAAAGCAGCGGGGTCATTGTTTGGGAACACCAGCGCCACCTAGTGGATGGGACAGAAACAGGAAGAAAGTGCAGATAAACATAGGGTATCTGCTTTCCAAAACACCCTAAGAACTAGACTTTCCACGGACAACAAGATGAAAAGTCTAAATAAGGAACTAGAATACAAATTAGTTGTAAAAATGTATTTCAGTAAGATATGTTTTAATAAGTCTCATATAGATTTTTAAAAAATTTATGTGAAAGATAAACATTAACAGTCATCTGTATTAGTAATACTGTCATCAGCCTGCACTACCTTTACATTTTGGCATACCATCTTCCATTCCCACATATATTTTAACACAGAAGAAACTACAGCGTATATACTATTCTGTTTTTCACTACTCTGACTAAGCTTCATAAATACTTTTTATATTCCAATGCAGTCTTGATAATTATAATCGAATGGTTGTACAATTCTTTATTAGGCTCCTGGGCTGAATGCGTGTAGGCTAGACCCAGACAGGATTCAAAGTACATCCTAGGCCAGTTTTTTGCTTTGGGGGCTCCCATACAATTTTAGCCCATGCCTTACTTTCTTAGCTAAAAAATGAAGATAATGTCAGAACCTGTATCTTAGTGTTGCAACAAGCGTGAAGTGAGGGAATGCAAGCAAAGAGCTCAGCGTGATGCCTGACACACTGCACGTGTCCAGGAAGGCTAACTACCAGAAACGCACCACGTATTGGCTCTGTGATGGAGTGGTACAGTCCAAGCTGCATATACACGTGTTTTCCCACTCCCCCACCCCCAACGTCATACCTGCCTGTACATGGCACCCACCCACCCACTAGCCTCTTAGACACTAAAGTTTTAAGAGTAGAATCATGGAGTTCTTCAAGTATGGTCAATATAAATTACTGTCAGGTATTACCAGTGTCATGAGTGAATATGGTTTCTAAATATATTTTTTAAACAAAGATTTTGTAAAAATTTTATTTATTATTGTTTTTTAATTTGACTAGAGAGAGACAGACAGAAAGGGAAAGTGAGAAAGCAAGCTGCCAGGTTCGAGACTCGAACCAGAGTCAGTCATGTGGGACTCCAGCGCCCCTAACTGCCATACCACCTGCTGGTCCTGGTTTCCAAATGTTTCCTGATAGTTCTTAACAGTATTATGTATGTCAATTAAGTACCATTTTTCATGTGATAGTTTATAATTATTCTTCATATAAACTTTTTTTTTGCTTTTCTTATCTATTTATCTGCTAGTGTTTTAATATGTACCCTGAAATTTGAATAAATGTTCATATATTTTATAGCATTAAGTCTTGCATGTGATACAAAGACTTCTTGATATATTTTCATTTTATCTTTATTGGTACAGACACTTAACATTTTATGTAAATTTGTCAAACTTTCCCCTTAGTTTTCACATTTTAACAAATATTCCACCTAATTTCCCCTAGCCTTGTAAAACAGTAAACTTTCAAATTCATCTGGACTTAATTTTTGTGTATGCCGTGTAGCTAACTTATTCACCTCTCATTTTCCCAGTGTTCTATCTTAGGCAATCCTCCCTCTTGTTGTGTTTTAGAAAGCTTCCTTAGGATAGAGCTTGAATACACAAACCCATTTCTGGAATCACCATGTTCTGCCACACCCTGCTTCTGGTTTAACACGAGCTCCTCTGAAATGCTGCTGTCGCAAGAGCACCCCTCTTCGTATGGACAAGGAAGTCTAGTATGTTTCCATGAGCACATAAATCACATGGTGTAATAAACAGGCATCGCTTCTGCATTTCCTTATTCTAAAAATGTAATCTTTTCTTTAAAAATGTTCTAGTGTATAATTTTACCATCAACTGCTAGATTCTAACTCTGAACATTCTATTTATCTCAATATCTAAGAAAGCGGCAGACGACAGTTGAGCAGGGAGCAGGCCACAGCTGACACTTGGCCAGGTTGGCAATACAGCAACACGGGGTAGTTGATAGAAACAAAATTATTAAGTTTTGAATTATATGAAGGTCCCCTTTCTACTAATGTAGGGAACCTCTGCTATTTATTAAAATTAGCTATATAAGAGAACTAGAGAAGGACAAAGAGATTTACTTGTATGTCTATGCATAAGACCCACTGCTGATTATTTATTTATTTATTTATTTATTTATTTATTTATTTATTTATTTATTTATTTATTTATTTATT